TGTGACATTAAAAACAAATTACTTTAGGTAAAACCCCATTAAACATCCTGTTAGATTATAAAAATACATCAAAATGATGAATTTCTTGCATGAGTATTCAAAACAATCTGGTTTATCAGCACTGTTAGCCTGGGATTTCTGATGGGAATCTCTGGATTTTTAACCAATTGGTTAAACACTGAATGTTTGGTTATTTCAGCTGGATTTTTCTACAAATTATTCCTATTTGAAGTAATGAAAGGTTTTAGATCAATTAAAACACAAAAAAAAATCACTGTAAGGTGTATTTCCCAACAATTTTCATTGGCCATTTCTGACTCCAGACAGAATGAAGGGCTCTGGAAAAGCTGCAGCTGCCACAAAAAACATCCCACGTGAGCTCTGCTGCTCTCTCTGATCAAAGCTGGGCTCAGGCAGCTCCTGATGTTATTGGAACTTGTCACATTTGCACCAAATGGCCTAAAAAATGAGCCCCAGATTGGGGCATCTTCTGTCACAAAGGCAATACTTCCAAATGTGGAAGTATTTTCATCTTTACACCTCTCCTGTTTGCAGTTTGAAGGCAGCTGTTAAACCTTGGTTCAAAAAAAACTTCAGCACTGAAAGAATGGTGCTGCTGGGTTCTTTCTGTGGAAAATATTTCTTTGTGGAAAACATTTCTTTGTGGAAAACATTTCTTCAAAACACTGGCTCTGAAGAGTCCCTGGCATTCATGTTTCCATTTATTCCACAAATAATTTACCCATAGAAATTGGCTCCAAGGAAATAAGGAAATTGCTGGGGTGTTTCAATACTGACCTGTAATCAAACCTGTTAGCACAGCAGTGGTGATGGTCTGGCAGAAGGCACCGAGGCCAACAAAGCTCAAATAACCCAGACTGAAAAGCAAAAAAAAGTGTTTTACCTTTTACAGATGTTGAATTCAGCAGAATCTGTATCTACAGAGCATTTCACATCACAATCTCTCACAGAAACTGTAATTTTCAAAGTTCTGCAGCTGCAGGGAGTTGTTTTAGGAACAGAGCAGAAGCCAAATACAGACTTTAGAGGACAGATTTTATCCATCCTTGTGGTACTAACACTTCATTAAATTAATTTCATTAAGGACAGGATAGAAGTGTCAGGCCCTCATGCTGCAGTCTGATTTCTGCCTCTCCCCTATTTGCATGCAAAGCTCCCCAAAACATCCCAAATCCTGAAATGATTCTTGGAGGGAGGGACATCCCCAGCCTTCATCTCCTGTGTCTGCTGTATTCAATATCAAATAAAAAGGGAGACAGAAAACAGGACACAAAGCTGACATGAAATTTCGACCCAAAGTCTGCTCAACTCTCAAATTCCACTTTACTGAGTTTTTTAGGATTATCTYGGGTTACCTGATTTAACACCATTTATCTGTGAAAYTCAGGCTCTCTGTGKGTCTGTGAACTCTTCTCAGGGCACACTGCAGTAACAATTATTTATGTTTATTATTTAATACAAGGATTTATGTACCTGGATAAATCATTCCATTGTGTCGCAGTCCCTTCTTTTACAACAGAGAGAACAACAGCAGCCACAGCTCCAAGCACAGCAGGCAAACCAAAAGTGAAATGAACTCCAGAAGTGTCCTGAAGCTTGAGGGCAGGATTGAAGCACCTCTGGGGAAAAAAAAAAAAAAAAAAAAGGTTTAATTCATACCCAGAATTAGATGAATTTGCTCTCTCAAGTTGCAATCCTGCACCCTGCTCAAAACACCTCAGGTTTCCCAGTTTGGAAAATGGGTTTATTTTAGGAAAAGAAGTTTATACAGCTTCCACAAGAACCATTTCAGGGTTTGAGCATTACCTGTGAACAGTGAGATCCCAAAATGGCAATGACACTGCCAAGCAGCCCCAAAATCATGGCAATCCAAGGCTGCTGGATGCTGTGWGCTGTGTAGCTGATGGTGACCCCTCCAGCCAGGACTGCACTGTGGATGTGAGTCTGCACAAGAAAACAGCAAAACCAGAGCTTAAGAGACTTTGTACAAGGGTTTGTAGTGATTAAACATGGGGMAAATGCTTTAAACTGAAGGAGGGAAGGTGTAGATTYAATATTAGGAAGGAATTGTGGTGAGGCCCTGGCACAGGGTGCCCAGAGAAGCTGTGGCTGATCCCTGGCAGKGYCYAAGGCCAGGCTGGACAGGGCTGGGAGCACCCTGGGRCAGTGGAAAATGTCCCTGCCCATGTCAGAGGGGTAACTGAGGTCCTTTAATGYCCCTTCCCACCCAAACCACCCTGTGAGTCTGTGACTATCAGGGTAAAACCCTGGCCTTGGTTTCATTTAGCAGCTGCTGTATTTCAGTGCATACTGAGAGYAACAGCAAAACCTCCTCTCCATGCAGGGCTTCCCTCAGCCTCACCATTCGGAATTTGCCATCCTTGGAGGTCAGAGCAGACAGCAGGAAGGCAGTCACAGCACTCACTGCCAGGGCAAAGTAGGTGTTGAGCACTGCTTCCTCCTTGGAGTCAGCCAGGATGGAACTGAAGCTTGGCCAGAACACCCAGACAAACACAGTGCCTGGGGACAAAGAGCAGAGAGCCTCAGGAGCTGCTGTGAAGCACAGAGAAGCCATCCCTGCCTGTCTCTGGAAGAATTTGGTGCATTCACTGGGATTCCCAAAGCACAGSCTCCCCTAAGATCATTCCCAGCGAGGAGCTGTGGCAGTGTCACACCTCCATGGCCACACAGGCTTCTCCAGCAGGGATGAAAACAGGTTCTTCTGCYCCTAATTGTCAGCATTTGGGAATCCCAGGCTGGCAGGACATTTTCCCATGCAGGCACAGATCAAATTCCAGCCAGCAGAGGGAAGCCAGTGACCTCAGAGCACCTGAGGCTGATCCCACAGGGCCCTG